TTCCTCCACCCCCCCCGGATTAAACTCAGGCCCTTGTGCTTGCTGGACAAGTACTTATTCTACTGAGCTATCTTCCCCGGCCTGTACAGTATATTTTTCAAATCTATGATTTCAAAATTAAAATGTTGGTTTAAAAACCTATGTCTACTATGTGGCTCTTCACTACTTCAAATTTTATGCCAACTTAGTGTTCTACTGACCTTGTCTAGTATTGCTTTGGTATCTATATAAGCCAATTTATTCTGTGTACTTTGGCTTAATGATCAGATATCAGTACTCAAAGAAGTTTTTTGTTTTTCTGTCTTGCTTTTGGGGATCCAACTCAGGGCCTTATGCTTGCCAGGCAGGTGCTTACACCTGCTGAGCTGTCTCCCTGGCCTCATATCAGGATTAATCATGGATCAAAATAATCAATTTCAAATAACTTATTTGCTTTTTTTTTTTTTTTTTTTGTACAAGGAATTGAACTCAGAGCCCCATGCTTGCCAGGCAGGCACTGTGCTGCTGAGCTGTATCTTTGACCCATCCATTTGATCCATTTGACTTTTTAATATCTATATTACCTGTAAAGTTTTATGTTTCCCTTTATCTGCTTGTGTCTTTTTATTTTGATAAAGAATGTGATTAGGGGATTAGTTTTTTCTGTGAAGCTGTTAGTAAAATTTTGGGGGTTTGTGACTTTGTTAACATTTTGAATGATAATATGTGAGAATCATGTTTTGCCTAACTTTTCTGAAGCTAAATAAGAATGGCTTTATATGGTGCTGATACCCTTATAAAAGTAGAGTGAGAAAAAATGTTATTGGTAGTTTTGAGAAGTTAGGTGTTGGCTTTCTCTGACCTTTTTATTTTGTCAAGTTCGCTTCTTTCTGCTCCTCAGTCCTGTCTCAGTAAGCCTTGCCATATGGTATTTTTCTTCTGTCAGACTTTTGACCCATTGGCCACCTTCTCATGACAAGTTAGAGACAGCACAGCCTCTCTGGGGCAGTGGGGACTCTCTGTTGCTATTGTTTATCTCTTAAATTTCAACAAGTCTATTGCCGACTCTGCAATAGTGTGGTAAGAAATATTGGTCAGTTTCATAGTTAAGTTGGTGATAAGGATAGAAAAAGGAACATTAAAAGGAAGCTAGAGTTTTTGGTTTTTGGTAGACAGTAATGGGTTTCTTTTTTTTTTTTT